CATGCAGTGTGGAGCGGCGCTAATAATACAAGATTTCAAATTAAAGTTTAAATTAAAAACAGACCGCACAGGCGCAACGCGCTTAAATCAACTGCGCATGCGTGCCACTACTATATCCCGCGCAAGCTCGAAGACAGAGTAGTGCACATTTTTTGTTTGGAATGGCTTCTCTAGTACGTAGTACATATAACTCAATGATTTCGGCTATAGATGTTGGCCAAGCGAAGGCGAGTACCAACATATGGACAGCACATTTGTCTAGTCTCGCCATTACTCGTCGTTGCTCGCCTATATGACCGAGTGCAGGCGAGAGCCAACGGGATCGCTCGCCACGACTCGTTTCACTTCGGAACAGTATTGGTTTTTCTGCACAAATCAAAGACGCCCGCCAGCATTCGGCAATACGTGTCCACATGTTAGTTGGTCATATCAGTATGTTTACTCATTCAAACTTGGCCAACATGTAGACTGTAGCACTCGCCTTGTACTAATTTGCCGCTTGCGAATTGTACGCTCGCGTTGGCTGAGGCTTGGCCAAATGTATTGCCGGCTTTAGAAAAATCACTTACACTGTATCCCTACACCAGCTATCGCATTGTTGGAAACACCTATATCCAGCAGTAGTGAACTTAGAGAAGCATATTTTAATCATATTATTACAAATAAACTATATCCCTCATTCCAAGAAGTTTTAAATAAAAGATAAACGAAAATATACCCTCATTTTTCATTTTAATATCACAACAATTTTATTAATATAGACTGTCAAGTACTCATCATACAATAAAAAATATAGTTGCTGACAGAAGTTGTTTGCATTCAACTATAGTTGTAATTGTTATGTTTACCTAGTTGAGAAACAGTAGAACGAACTATTAACATAATTTTGGATTAAATTAATAAGTAAAATAGTTAAAAGGAAAAAATGGAAATATTTCCTTTTCAAGTTTCGTATCAACGCATTTATTTTTAATCAGGTAACACCTTTTTTACATTGAATGTCTCGAATTAAAAACCCCTTTTATAATAAATTAACGAACGAACCGACCTCGTTCGGCTACGCTTTCGAACTCAAACTAACCGTAGTCATTCTAATCGATAACACAACCTCAAACTACAAATAATCAGCTAAACAACGTTCACCTGCCAAAACAACAGGAGTTAATATTACCATAAATGCTTTACAGTAGCTCTACGTAATTTCACTATCGTTATAAATTATCAGAAATGGCGTTAATAAGACGTTGTTATACAATAATTATACTCAACTATTCAATTATCGCATCGAGATATTAATAGTGGCTTATAACTAGTTGTCAAAAATAGCACTCGTGCTCTGTTGTTATAATATGGGATAGTCAAAAATATACGGATATGCTCCATTAAACACTCACACAAACACCCACACATGCACACACAATATACTGTTTTCGATAGGGCTTCTATAAAAAAGAACACGCATTAAAATTTGATAAACAGATTTCTACCAAATTCTACAAGGTAAGTATACTCAATAATGAAAAAAAAAACACAAAAAATTTTTCTTTGTGATCGTTTTTATTGTGTTAGTGCAAAGGTTAATTGGAATAATTTTACCAAAAATTATGGTAATTTTACCAAAAATTATGGCAACACTAATTTGCCGTGTAGTGGGGACGTATAAGAATCCATCTTTATGTCTCGTGGGTTTCATTCACAAACACCGAATAACAATCGTGTAGTGGCGGTGTAAGAATATCCACTACCTTATATCGTCCAGTGGGTGTTGTAAGAGGCGGACCGAACGAAACTGAAACAGGAGATAAACAACTCAAAATAATTAAATCTGTGGTTGCCAAATCGCTTGCCAAGCGAGGCAACTTTGGCAAAATCCCCTTCTATGAGACAATCTATGGGGGAGGCTTATGTTCAGGAGTGGAAAGTTACAAGCTGTAATGAATGCATGGTAACATCCAGACCCAAAACAATTATTTATAGGTCATACATTTATACCTTTTACGTGGTAGGGCCATGCTGCAGCTATATTACTGATATAGTTGCAGCACGAATGGGTCGGTCCAACCGGGGAAGTACCACGCTCTCACAGAATGCCAGCGTAAAATAGCAGGTTAACGCTGCTGTGTTTTGTATGGTAAATGTAGAGAACTGGAGACCCTTTTTACTGGAAACGAGGCATTCTATCTTAGTCCACACGGGTGACCGCGCGTCTGCATTTTGATTTGCAAACGAGGATAGTTGTAGATGTCTATGGGCCGCAGCAACCACTTACCATAAAGTGGACTGTGTGCTCTTTTGTTACCCTTATCCTTTAAAAAGAATACAAGTAATTGTTTGGTGCGTGATTCAAAGCCAGCCAGAGTGATGCCAGTTAGGGGGCTGAGAATGGCAAAATGTCGTCCCTTCTTTTTTGTTACTGCATCAAAGTGCCATTGCATTGTACTAATTTAAATAAATACTAACATAGACTCAAATTTAATTTTAATTCATTGAAAGTTTTCGAACGAACTTTAGTTATCTATGGGCATTATAAAAGAAAAAGTTTAATTGTTGATTGTCTTTGTCCGTATTCACAAACAATATTTTTTTTAAGTGTAGTAGATTATGATAAGCAAAATATTTCTCAGTGCGTTCGGTATGGCAGGACGTTCATTTTATAAATAATACTCGAAGGACTATTTGTGCGTACGCAAGTACTACTATGCTAGTACGTGTATATATAATTAAACCATCTAAAGAACTTTCAACCATAACGCTTAGGCAATAAAATCTATTATACTAAACGTATTACGAACCGCACTTACGTAATCGCCCTTAAACTAACTGAAAAGCCGCCCATAATATTTTAAATTTCAATAAATCGACGACTATGAACGTTATTACTTACATAATAATCGACAACTTTCAACTTTACTGCTTACATATTAAAGGCAAATGTCGAACACTGGTTTAGTTTTCATTGATATCACTGTTACTGTGTCTAAAGTGACTTTTATATCATAACAAGATGTAACACCCTATTTCAACCCCTCAGGGGTTGAATTTTCCAAAATCCTATCTCAGCGGGTGTCTACACCGAAAAAGGAGTTAATATGCCAAATTTTAAGTCAATCGGCCGTATAATTTTGGAGATCTCGAGAAGAGTGAGTGAGTCAGTAGTATTTCGCTTAAATATACATAATATAAAGATAGATTTAAAATTAACTACAAAGTTTTTCGTTTTCTAAAACGTCATAAATAAAACATTTTAATTATTTCTCCGTCATAAATTTTGCAAGGATTTGTTTTGTATCAACTTTAATGGTACAAAGTGGTAATAGCTAATTGTTAACAACTTTCAATTACGTTTGCATCTGGGCATTTTACGGCAGCTGTATTATAGTTATTACGTTTGGTCATAGTCCAAAAATTCACTTAGCGAACCCACTCATGGCAAATCTAAATTCTCCAGACCGGAGATGGGAAACAACTTCTATGTAGGCCATCTAGTAGTTTTTAACAGAAAATTTTATCTGTTACGACTTCATACCTTGTCAACGACATAATTTAAAATTTTGTACAACCGACTTCAATATAAACTATTAAGAATAACTCAAAAACTATTGTGGTCAGACCTTGATAAAATTTATATGTGACCATATGAGAAGCACCAGCTTTCAAATCGAAATTGGTTCAACCAGAAAAAAAGTTATGAGGACTAATAAAAAAGTCAGTATTGTCTTTTTATTTTAACCCTTTTTTATTAGAAACGAGGCATTCCATATTAATCCTAACAGCGCTTCTGTATTTTGATTCCAAGTCGAGGATAGATGTAAATACATTTATGAGGCACAGCATCCGTTTACCATCAATTGGACTGTGTGCTCCATTGTCACCCTTATGTTATTTAAAAAAAAATTGTATTTTTCGAGCTTAAAAAGAAAGAAAAATCTTCTAAATATTAGTCAGAAACATTAGGTGTTAAGTGGACTATGGCTTTCACTCTTCTTACTCTCGTCATCTTGCTCGCAATTCATTTACTTGTTATTTTTTTATTGAGTTTTCACAAAAAGGGACTCCGTTTTTATTTTTATGCGATCCTCACTATCATTGTTTTTGACACTATTATTTAATTAAAAAATAATTATTGAACACATTGCTAGTTTCCATTTTAATATAATTTAATATAAATAAACCTAACGTTTCAATAATTTACCCAAGGGTTGGATAAACATATTGTAATTTATAGAGTATATAATTTGTGCAATATTGAACCTTAACACATTGAAAATAACGTGTCGAAATGGCCTTGTAAATTAATAATGACACTCAATTATAAAGCAATTTTTAAAAAATGCATCATATTATGATCTAAGTGATAAGCTTCGACTTAACACGCAACCGGTGAGAGGTGGACGGTGTATTACGTCATCTCATCTTTTCCAAATCCTAATGGTTACGCGATAATAAACTTTAGGTAGTGTTTTTACGAGGCAATTCAGTCTGTCAACTATTTTTAAACGAGTAAAATCGGCTACGAATTGTTACATTACACTTTAACCGGTTATAAACTTAACCGTCCCGTCTGACCGGATAGTCAGATAATTTAAGAAACCTTTTCTACGTTACGATACGTGTAACTATGCAAATTTTATTTCCATAACGTTACACACGTTTATATACAACAAAAACATACAAATCGTTCGACAACGTACGTACGATAATTAAAAATTAAATAACTTAAGGTTGTTCATGCACTTTCCGCACTGTATAACAGATCATAAAAAAACGAAACGTTTTTAATGTCAAATAAACATCTTATTTGAACAATTTTAAATAATAAATATCTAATTTTTGAGATACTACTTAATGTAATAAATTCATTTTACATGATGTACGTTACTTTTTTAAGTGTCAACGATCCTCAAGCAAATTGAAGTCTTCCGATTTTAATCGCCCCATGAAAACGCTTTCCGTCCAATCGGAACGCGACTAGCATGTCGTGCGAAAGTGAACTCTATTACCTATGTGATAAGGCGCGGCGCGTGAAGTCCGTAGAGGCGACGGGCCAGCGGTGGGCGATGACGCGGTTCGTCGTCCGAGTGGGGCGCCCAGTCCTGTAGACGAGCACCACCAGCTAGCCGATGGGTCAGACGATGTGCTATGGAAAAACCGCCACTACCTTCCAACTGCGTAAGGACTATTATCACTTGTCTGTGGACAAACATATACCCTTTTTAGTCAAAAACGTTAAAGGTGTTAAAAAGTAAGTTTATACAAGCTTAATGTTTAAAACAGTAATTAAAAAAACATAACCCCAACTAGATGTGAAAATCCATCAACTCGTTTAGACTAAGAGCGTACCAAAGAAATAGATACATACATACGTACATACTCCCGAAAAACAAATTCCTTGAGGGCAATTCGAGCAGGCAACCGAAACGAAATTTTGGAAACCGCCTCGGAGTATTAATGGAAATATTTATGTAAATTTAAAAAAAATATATTAAAATGTAGCTCTTCTCTGCGATTTCGAATTATTTTGCGCGGAACCCTAGAATAAAAGTAGCCTAAGTTACACCTTGGCTTACATATAAAATATAGATATATACTGTCGCGAACTTTTTTGTAGAACTATTTAGGAGAAACAATTCCACCATATTTGTATAACTCCTACAGTTTTTGCACCGCACGCCAAAATAGCTCGCAGATGACAGATTTTTTCCGATTTACTTAACATTTATCGTTATATTTTGACTAATATACACAATATATTTATGAATTATAGCTTATGTGTTATTCCGATGTATAAAGCTATATAATAGTAAAGTTTCATTAAAATGCATTTAGTAGTTTTTGCGTGAAAGAGTTACAAACATTCACGTTTATAATATTAGTTTGATTGTACCATTAAAGCCTATAAAAGTCCACTGCCGAATATGTTCGGCTCATCCCATAGATTGCCTCATAACCCATGATTTTGTCATAGTAGCCAGCTTGGCAACCCCAGTTTTTATATTACTATTGAGTTGTTTTCAGGAAAATGCTGCTGCCCATCTCCTGTATCATTTTCTCTCTCACACATCTTACGACATGTACGGTCCAACCGTACATTTCTGCTGGCGTTAACATTATACGCAACGCAATCGCTATAGTTTGACAATTGGTAGGGCCACGCGGCAGCTTTTGCTGTCGCACGGATGGGCCGGCTCGAACCGGGGTGGTACCACGACCTCACAGAATACCAGCGTGAAGTAGAGGTTTATCTCTGCATTTTGATTCGCAAACGAGGATAGATGTAGATGTCTATGAACCGCAGCAACCACTTACCATCAGGTGGACTGTGTGCTCGTTTTTCACCCTTATCCTATAAAAAAATTACAAAAATTGAATTAGTTCACATTTTACATTATAACATTAACATTTAGCATTATTCAACATATTTTAATCTTATATTTTTTTTACTTGTTTATTAAACTGTTTTGACACAAAATTTAAATTATTATTGAACATTCGTCTAATGCCCATACACGACGCCCACGGGACGAAATTGGGTAGTGGATATCTTACACTCCTACACTGCCACTACATGATCCTACATTAAATACCACCATCTACCGGATGCCATTCCATCTTTTTCGCGGTACCCATTGTCTCTGCTTACGATACCTAAGGTGGTATTTACTTTGACGGAAGAAATTGATAAGAGATTGTAAGGTAGACTGAGGCAAGTGTGACAGTGGGGCAAGTGTGACAAATGCAAATTATGCGGCATAAATACGTGTTTTTGGTTAAATGCCATTTTTTGAACAGCGCAGGAACATTTATGCTATTGACTATACCGACAGTTAAGTACAAATCTTCAACTATTTTATCGACAGACGTTATTTATTCAAACTACTCAACTGGCGAAAGCCCGCGCAATTTTAAGAGGCGAAGTTTTAAGTGTTTCGATACGTCATTAAGTTATTTTAAACAAGATACAAGGTGAGTGATAAAGAAAAATATTGGTACTTATAGTGTAATATGTTTATGTTTTTTTTTATAGGATAAGGGTGACAAACGAGCACACAGTCCACCTGATGGTAAGTGGTTGCTGCGGCCCATAGACATCTACATCTATCCTCTATTACAAATCAAAATGTAGATGCGTTGTCACCCGTGAGGACTAAGATGGAATGCCTCATTTCCAGTAAAAAGGGCCTCTGGCCACCTGCACTCACCAAGCGAAACGCAGAGGCAAACCTCTACTTCACGTTGGTCGTGGTACCACCCCGGTTCGAGCCGGCCCATCCGTGCGACAGCAAAAGCTGCCGCGTGGCTCTACCACTGTTAATTCTACTGTAACCTGATATCCACTTTTTCTTGAAATACAGATAGAGTTACCCTTACCTCACCTAATATCTAACATCGGGGTAGGTGTGACAGTGTCACGCTTACCCCGATCATCTTGTATGAGAATATCGTAACTAGTGATGGGAAAGCATATTGTTTTTAACTGAATTCAAAAAAGGAGGATGCTGTTTACCTGTGTCTTTGTATGTATTTATATTTAAGTATTTAGTTTTATAATTATACTTACTAAACGAGCGAGCGAAGGGAGTGAGACCTCAGAGTCACGTTAAACGAATCGGTGTTTGTATGTACATATGTCTGCATCATTTTGTATGTACGGTGATAACTTTTGAAAGACTTATCTGATTTCAATTAAACTTAAAACGTTCATATATAATACAAACAGAAAACTGGTGGTTTTTGAGATATGGAGGGGTATGTCATAAGAGGTGAAAAATATCATGCCTTTGGTTTAACTCAGCGAGAACTCAGAGCTTTAGTTGGCCAATATGTTCGTCTCAATGAAACCGATACTCCCTTCAAAGATGGGATTCCGGGAGACGAATGGTTAAGAACAAGGAACAAGCTATCGATTAAAAAACATCAAGCCGTCAAATCGCAAGAAAAAAAGCTGCCGACTAGTATTTCCCAACGAGTTCAACGATGTGCTTGAGACTGGTACAAAAGCAACAATTCAAAGGTGATCAAATTATGGAATCTAGATGGAACATGTTTCTGTCAAGACCCAGGAAAGTTGAAAATAATTGGCCTAAGAGGTTTTCAAGCCACAAGAACCACTAGCTCGCCAGGCCGCGATAATACAACTGTATTGTTCGCATGCAATGCCCGGGGCCAGAAAGTACCTCCGTTAATAATTTTTAAAGGAACATATCTTTGGAATACATACGCTACGCTAAAGGGTTGGATGGCTTCAGTCTTCGAAAGTTACTTTTCAAATGTACTGTTCCCGGAAATATGCAAATGAGGCAACCCACAACTTGTAATATATGACAGCCATTCAAAACACCTTGACTTAATGTTATTATAAAGGCTAACGAAAACAATATTACCCTTTTAAAACTATGTGGCGGCGCTGTCGTCGCGCCACAAGCGAAACACATCGAAGCCTAAATCGCGCTATCAAAGTTCCGAAATTAAAGCAGCATATATAGAATAGCTCCGAACTACCAATCGGAGCGTTGGCCGCTCCCCGGGCAGAACACCTTGCCCGGCGGGAGATCTCCCCTTATCCTTCCACCGGCTACAGTGGTGACCAACCGACGTGGTATGAACACGCAACCAACAATCATCGGAAACTACAATTTAAAAAAAAAAAAACTTCGTCATCATCCTCAAGTACCCCATTTATTCGCTCCCGAGCAGATATTGTCTGCAGTCTTCACATTCTACCAATCATCTAGCTTTACAAAGGTTCATCGCAGCATTGGAATAATAATGCTTCCTGTTCCTTCAAGCTAATCTCTGCGCTACAGTGTTCGGCACGGCTCTGAGCCTTACTGCTCGCCTCTGCTTCACGGCACTCTCGTAGATTACTTGCCTTCTTCTCGACTCACCGCAGACTACAAGGCAATCCCTGGCACTTGCTCCGGCTCATCGTTCTCACCGGCATCACTTGCAAGTGCGTAGTACGGCATGCATTACACACCGGCATATCATTCGCACCGGCGTCACTTGCCCTTACGCACACAGCAGGCATTCCCCACTGGCATTAAGGACGCACCGGCAATCGGACTGCACTATCGACCTCTGGTCTGAGCAGGGGGGTGATGTGGCGTCGCTGTCGTCGCGCCACAAGCGAAACACATCGAAGCCTAAATCGCGCTATCAAAGTTCCGAAATTAAAGCAGCATATATAGAATAGCTCCGAACTACCAATCAGAGCGTTGGCCGCTCCCCGGGCAAAAACAACTTGCCCGGCGGGAGATCTCCCCTTTTCTTTCCACCGGCTACAGCCTCATTCTTCTCATATTTTGCAACTAAGAGGAGTTAAAGTTATTTTTCACTTAGCATTGTTTTTATTACATTTTGAAAACGTCCAGGGCAAGTGTGACATAAATCCATTTATAGGCACATCACTATATCGGTTAAAAATTGTCACACTTAACCCCATGCGTAGAAAAATTCATTGTTACACAAAAAAGATAGACGTTCAAATCCATCCATTTAACAGTGGTAGAGCCACGCGGCAGCTTTTGCTGTCGCACGGATGGGCCGGCTCGAACCGGGGTGGTACCACGACCTCACAGAAAACCAGCGTGAAGTAGAGGTTTACCTCTGCGTTTCGCTTGGTGAGTGCAGGTGGCCGGAGGCCCTTTTTACTGGAAATGAGGCATTCCATCTTAGTCCTCACGGGTGACAACGCATCTACATTTTGATTTGTAACAGAGGATAGATGTAGATGTCTATGGGCCGCAGTAACCACTTACCATCAGGTGGACTGTGTGCTCGTTTGTCACCCTTATCCTATAAAAAAAATCAAACAGATCATAAAATATATTGACATTAGTATCATCTCATCAATTTTCTCGAAAACTACAGATAATAATAAAGTAACTACAAACAGAAGCGTACTGTCACACTTGCCTCATTGATGGGGTAAGTGTGACAGTCTTCCACCTTAATTAGTTTTAACTACCTCAAATTACAAAATGCTACTTATAGATACTAAAATGCTTGATCAAACAAACAACCACTTAATAATTGATGTTTCGAAACGGAATTATCAATGTTAAACCCTTACAGAATAGTAGTATTTAAATGTTCATTTTAGTTTTAATTAATTTATGTCACACTTGCCTCGGGTGACTCTACTAGATATAGGCCGAATCTGGATTTTACCCAATTCGACCTTTCAGTGTACCTGCCAAATATGAGGAATACCGAATATGAAACAAATAATCGACACATGCTTAGGTGGTACCAACTCAGGCGGACATCCATGCAGAAAGGAGTCCACTTTGGTAGCTTGTTGAATGTTGAAAAGATTCCAAAGATATCCAAAATCCTAGTTGTAGTAAAATGAACTTTATTATCTAAGACCATAAGATTTATTTGTTCGTGTCAGCAATTTCATTGCCTACCTGTGCAAAGGTGGCACGGAATCGATCGTCTTCAGCTCCCCTCTTGTGGACACCACGTTGTAGCTTTCTTGGCAGTCACACTTCACGTGTATCCATTTGTCGGTGTGGCGATTCTCTACCATCACTACCAGACCTGCCCAGCCCTAGAACAGAAATAACATTTAATATAAATATATAACTTTAATAACATATAGGTTTTTGTACATCAATTAAGCAAGTATAGTTGTAGTACGAATGGGTCGGCTCGCCCGGGGAAGGACCACGCTCTCACAGAAAACCAGCGTAAAATAGCAGCTTAACGCTGCTGTGTTTCGTATGGTAAGTGTAGAGAACCGGAGACCCTTTTTACTGGCAAAGAGGCATTCCGTCTTAGTCCTCACGGGTGACAACGCATCTGCATCTTGAGTCTTTATTGAGGATAGATGTAGATGTCTATGGGCTACAGCAACCACTTACAATCAGGTGGACTGTGTGCTCGTTTGTCACCCTATACTATAAAAACAAAAAAAAGTAAGTCTAAATAAGCTGAAGTAGTAAAACCAAGGGAAGGAAATGACCACCAGACAAAGAGCCAAACTGGCGTAGGGAGACTGGGAGAAGATAATACGCTCAGAACCCAATTTTTAAAAATCTTTGGTAATAAAATTATGGTGGTAATAAATCAAGAACCTAGATTTTGACTGAATTGGGACATTGTGGTGGCGGAGTGCTGTGATTAAGGTTTTGTGCTGTGCCGTTAAATGTGGCAGTGATGGGGATTACGTTATTCGTGTTAGTGGTGACGATAATGGTAGTTAAAATAAAAGTTACAAAGTACTTTTTTTGTTATTTAAATAAACGTTACCCCACACTAGGATTTTCTCCTGTATCGTGGAGGCAGTTTACAAACACAAATTGCACAAGGACAAACATTCAGACCCGGAACAATTATTTGTAGGCCATACAAATACTTGTTCCGTGCGGGATTCGAATCCGCGGCCCCCAGCGCAGCAATTCATTGCAAAGTCACTGCGCCACAGAGCCGTGAAAGATATCCAAAATCAAATTTTTAAAAGTCAACAATCAAGTTATCGCTTTAGCTAGTTTTTAAGTTGGTGACAGTTGTAGTAGTTGGGCGGTGGGCGTTGTTGATGGTGGCGCTGATGGTGTTAATGGTGTTGGTAGTGTCTCATTAATGGTGGCAGTGGTGGTGATGGTGGTGATGGTAATAGTTTGGCAATGGCAATGGTTTTAGTAGTTAGTGGTAATGGTTTGGTTGTGGTTGTAGTGGTTTAGTGTTGGTGTAGGTTTAATGGTGGTAGTGTTGATGTAGGCTAATTTTAAACATAGATTTTTTTTATTTCAATATGGATTGTAAAAAATTCTTATTGAAAGTCACCCTTTTGTTTAATTTACCAGTGCTATGGCGTCAGTGTGGGTGTGAGTGATAAAGTCTTGGTGTTAATAGCGGTGGTGATGGTGGTGCGTGAGGCGAGTGGCGGCACCTTGGTGAGGTAGTAGGCGGTCATGCCCTGGCGGCCCTCGTGGCGCTGGCCGCGCGCCAGCGTGAGGCCGATGATGGCGTCGGCCAGCAGGTGCGCGTGCAGCGGCGGCCGGCGCACGGCCAGCGGCTTGCTGGAGTGCACGGCCAGCACGTGCCGCGGCCACGCGCCCCACGCGCCGCGCCCGCCGCCCTCCAGCCCCGTGTGCCAGTGGTTGAACGCCAGGCACACCACCAGGTAGAACCCCTTCTCCAGCATCTTGTGGCACCCCACGAAACCGCGCACCTGTGATGTCATCAAAATAACGTAAACAACACAATTCTCCCACGGGTGTGTAAAATTGAACAGGCTCCCACAGACGTGTATAATTCGCCTTAGGCAGCATTTTCCGTCCCGCGTGTGAACTGTGTAAACATTATGTTTTCCCTTTCCTCTAATAATATAACTTGGACCGTCTTACGTCAAACATGTCTTTCATTTTAAACTCCTGAAAACCCTAAAATTTTATTGTTATTTAATAAAACACATAAGCGTTATAACGCGCCACGTTTTGTTAACGCAACAAAACAGTAAAAACTTTAACCAGAAGTTAACGTAGAACATTATTTAAATTAAACTGTATGACCAGTAGAATACGTAATTGCTCCACACCTATTGCTATTAGTTAATTTATAGTAATTAAAAAAAAATTATCGAAAATTTAATTTGGCTATTAAACATAAAATATCTACTATTCTAAATTAAACTGTAAGCTAATTACTTGTTCCTTAAATGCTCTAGTAGAATCCGTAATTGCTCTACGTCTATTGCTATTAGTTACTATTGGTTCCGGAAACGTCCGATTTCCCACCCGAACTATTATAACCTTGTAGGCGTGGCGAATTCTACTGGTGCATTCAAGGAGCAATTAATTGGCATACAGGTTAATTTTAAAATGTAGATATTTTATGTTATATAGCAAATTAAAATTTTCGAGACTTAATTTTTTTTAAAATTAATTATAGATTAACTAATAGCAATAGACTTGGAGCAATTAGGGATTCTACTGGTGCACTTAAGGAGCAATTAATTGGCATACAGTTTAATTTTAAAAAGTAGATATTATGTTTTATAGCAGAATTAAATTTTCGATAATTAAATAAAAACAATAATTATAAATTAAATAATAGCCATAGACATAGAGCAATAACTGATTGTGCTGGCGCATTTAAGGAGTAATTAATTGGCATACAGTTTAATTTTAAAAAGTAGATATTTTATGATTTATAGCCAAATTAAACTATCGATAATTTTTTTTTTATTTATTATAATTTAACTAATATCAATAGACGTGGAGCAATTACGGATTCCAATGGAGCATTTAAGGAGCAATAATTAAATTGTGGGATGAAGTTGCTCGCGTCCGTAGGAATTACTTCCCTGATTCCCTACACGTATCCCCTGGGTAGTGCTAAACGAGCAGCACAACATACTGGTGGTAGGTTGGTGCTCTACTAGTGAGAGGCCCGGCCGAGGATTAGTTACCACCCACCTGGCAAAGACGTACCGCCAAATGATGCAAATCGTGTTCCGGTATGATGTTAGTTGAAACCTATTTCTTAGGGAGAATGGGTTTGGACAGTTGCGTTGTGCATACGAATCGGTTGCGACACGGACGTTTCTTAGTGTCCGGTTATGGAGGTTAGATAATAGACCGTAGATAACTGGGGGCCCAATTAATGAGCTAGCCACTCATGAAAGGCCCCAACATCTTACGAAAAATCCTGGGATGACTCCACCATGCCGATTGGCGATCGGAGGAGAGGGCCTGTTGGCAATTTCCAGGGGGTTCGGGCGTTCCCGCGATCTCCATGCTATGTACCATCGATGCTATGACTGTTCACGTCCCTAGGTTATATGTGTTACGCCTCGTCCAACTGCCATTCTCTCAACCTATTCACTCACACCATTTATGAAAAACAGGAAAAAGAAGAGTAAGTTTGTACAGCGGTTGCACTCCCTCTCCATCAAAGTGCACCTCACAAACATGAGAAGCCTGCACTGTAATCTCAAGGCAGTTCACAACCACCTTGAGACTGACAAGCCGCACTTACTTTTCTTGACTGAGACGCAGATCAGATGTCCTCTAGATGCGGCGTACCTTGGCTACCCTGGGTACACATTGGAGCATAATTTCCATCAGCACGCCGGAGTTTGGGTTTACGTCCGCAACGACATCTGCTATAAGCGTCTCCGTCACCTTGAAGACCCCACTTTCTCTACGATCTGAGTATTCATAGACACAAGAATGGATAAAATTATTCATTGTTGTGTCTAGCAATCGCATAGCGGTGACCAGGAGACAACTAGGCTGTTTGAACACGTCAGTGAAGCCTTTGATGTGGCTCTTAATCGGTATCCTAATGTAATCCTAATATCCACAGTTAGTTTTTGTGAGGGTCTTTAATGCCTGTCATCAGGACTGGCTGTTCCCATACCAGAAGACCGACCACGCTGGGAGAGAGGTGTGAAATTTTGCCTTGTCGCTAGGGTTCTCCCAGCTGGTACAACACGCGATTAGGGTACCTGATCTGGATGGGTACACAGCCAACTGCCTCGGCCTTCTGCTGACGACCGATCCAGGCAGGTACAATGTTCAGGTTATCTCAACCTTAGGAACTTCTGACCATTGTCTAGTGAAATCTGTGTCGTTATATTCCCCAACGAACTACGAATAACACGGTGTGCAGCGAGTGTTGCGATATAAGTAAGCAGATTGGGATGAGATGCGGCATTTCTTTGCATCTTATCCTTGGCGGCAGGTCTGCTTCTGGTCTGAAGACTTGTCGAGCTGCGCGGATACCATAACCGATGTGATACGTTTAGCGATGGAGTATTTCATCCCCTTTTCTGACGTGCCCATTGGTGGTTAAGCTCGCCCATGGTTCAACGCCGAGTGCGCTCGTGCTGAAAAGCACAAGCATATGGCGTACTTATCCTAGGTCGATGTTCGAGACCGCAAAGCCCCGGATGTTAGCCTTAAGAAGAGAGCCTTTAACCATAAACTTTAAAAAGGCATTACGCTAAGCCAGTTTCGACCGTATTAAACGCATCGGTACAAAGCTCTCTGTCAAACTATCTAGCAGTAGAGCTTTTTGGTCTCTCACCAAAGCGGTCGAGACAAACTTCTGTCGGTCAACACTGCCTCCGCTGGTAAAACCAGATGGTTCACTGGCGCATGCGCCTAAGGACATGCGCCAGTGAACCTCAAGGACTTCTCGTTTTGCTTGCAATTCGCGTCTGGACAGTAGGATCAGCGTATAATCTCAATTACCTCACCGCGGTACCTCTATGTCAGAGGTCCGCATCACCAACAAGGAGGTTCTTAAAACCTTGCGAAGTCTAGATGTGAACAAATCTAGTGGATTTGATGGTATACCAGCTATAGGTCTAAAGGTCTGTGTACCAGAGTTGTCTGCTGTGTTGACACCCTCTCCTTTAGGACTGGAATAGTGCCCTAATCTTGGAAGCAGGCCAATGTGCAGCCTGTGCCTAAAAAAGGTAGCCGAACCGACCCTGCCAACTATTGGCCAATTTTAATTACCTCCATACTCTGCAAGATTATGGAGCGTATATTGAACACCCACCTCATGGCATAACTAGAGCAAAATGATCTCCTCGGTGATCGCCAGTACGGATTTCGCCGAAATCGATCAACTGGGGGCCTTCTAGTGTATGCCACTCACATATGGGGAGAGAACAGTGGTGAAGCACTTGCTGATTCCTTCGATGTTTCGAAGATTTTTGACAGGGTTTGGCAAGCTTCCAGTGTACGGCTTATCCCCTGGCCTGATTGTTTGGGTGAAGGACTTTCTGAGTGAACGGTCTCTCCGGGTCGTCGTCGATGGCTGCTCATCCGATACTGTGGCGACTAACTCCGGTGTTCCTCAGGGGTCCGGTCTCTCCGCAACTCTCTTCCTGCTGCATTTTTTTTATAGAAGAGGGGGCAAACGAGCATGCGGCTCACCTGATGGTAAGTGACTACCACCGCCCATGAACAACCGCAACACCAGGGGAATTGCAGATGCGTTGCCGGCCTTTTAGAAAGGTGTAAGCTCTTCTTGAAGGTTCCTAAGTCGTATCGGTCCGGAAAATTCGCTGGTGGTAATTGATTCCACAAGGAAGTTGTGCGAGGGAGAAAACTTCTTCTAAATCGCACAGTGCTGGACCGCCAATCATCCAGATGGTATGGATGGTAACGCAAGTTTTGTCGCGATGTGCGATGGCGAAATTGAGCGGCTGGAATTAGTCCGAACAATTCCTCAGAGCACTCCCCGTGATAGATGCGATAAAATACGCAAAGAGATGCCACATCTCTACGCAGTGCCAGTGTATCGAGCCGATCAGAAAGAACTCGGTCGTCGACGATTCGAACCGCTCTGCGCTGGATGCGGTCAAGTGGAAGGAGCTGGCACTGGGGTGCCCCGGCTCAGAGATGAGAACAGTATTCCATGTGGGGCCGAACTTGCGCTTTGTAAAGTTGCAAGCGATGTGCCGGTATGAAATACTGTCCCACTCTGCTGAGCACGCCAAGCTTTTTAGAGGCCAATTTGGCCTTCCCTTCCAAGTGACCACGAAAGTATTCTATATGTCGACGCCAAGGATTCCGATACTAGCTGAGGCAGCAATGGGAGTGCCTTGAAACTGAGGAGATACGACAAAGGGATTCTTTTTAGCGGTAAACGCGCAAACTTGTTTCTTCTGGGAATTGAACTGGACTAGATTTAGTCGGCCCCAATCCGAGACTTTGTTAGGCAAAGACTCAACTTCAGACACAAGTTTGTCCCGGTACTCAGCGACGTTTTCCCGAGAAATATTTTTGGCACGGCCGGTATATAAGGCATCACCAGTGCTGTCGTCTGCATAGCAATGAATGCTACCAGTTAGCAACATATCATTGATATGCGTTGGTGATAGCACGCAGCCTTGTGGAACACCAGCGTTGATAGGCTTGAAATCAGAGCATGCACCGTCTACTACGACCTTGATGCTCCGATCAGCAAGGAAACTGGTGATCCATTTGCACAATTTCTCGGGAAGCCCATAGGAAGGAAGCTTCGAAAGAAGCATATAAATGATCTACTCATTCCCCGTATCTATGGGTATGCAGACGACAGCACAGTTGTGGAGAGATACCAACTAAGTGCCCGGGCTAGTCGGGATCAAATCCAGTCAGAAAGAGAGGCTATGGTTGAGCGTGTAAATTTCACACTACAGGCAGTCTCTGAATGGGGCACTGCCAATCTCCTGAGATTTAACGCCTCCAAAACACAAGCGTGTATTTTGACCGCTAAAAGCCCGCTCACCTTGGCTCCTACTTTCCGGAATGTATTCTTGGAGTACACTGACCACCTTCAGTTGTTAGGGGTTGAATTTTCTCCGAACCTCAACTATGGGTGGTTTATTGAGTCCAGAGCCAAAGCAGCAAGGAAACTTAGTGTCCTTGCAAGGGTGCGGCGGTACTTCACATCGGGGCAGCTTCTTACTTTATATAAAGCTTGCAAGTCTGGTCATGCATGGAGTACTGCTGTCACATATGGGCTTGTACTGCAAAATGTCAACTGACAACATTAGACTCAGTGGAGAGACGTGCTAAGAAGCTTATTGGTGACCTTGATTTGGTTGAAACCAATCTTGTCAGCCTAAGTATTCTACAGGATGCGTTGCGGTGAGTGTGCGCAGGAATTATACGCTTTAATTCCTTCCTCTCCTTTCCACCATCGGACAACCAGGCGGTCGGCGGGTCTTCACCCCAAACTAGCAATTAAAAATTAACAATGAATTGACTAAATCAAATCATGAAGTCGCAGCGGTGTTTGAGAAATATTTCACTGATATTCCTATCTTGACAACAGAGTCATTGAATACTTTTCCAACTGTCGCCGAGTCATTACTCAAACAGAATATTAAGACCTGCATAAAAGAATTTAGATTTGAAAAAGTATTACCGCAAGATATTGTAAAATAAAGGGCGTGCTTCGGTGGTTTGGGCACGTTGAGCGAATGAGTGAAGACCGAATGGTGAAGAAAATATATAGCGCGAAAGTTAATATTAAAAGGTGTCGAGGTAGACCGAGACTAACTTTCGAAGACCATGTGAGCAAATTGCTCGAAGAGGGTAGGGTCAATAGTACTCGGATACCTAGACGTGCATGCATGAAGAAGATAATGAATCTGAAAGAAGCGAAAGAGGTTTGTAAGGATCGTGACACTTGGCGATCTGTTCTCTCTGGCTACCCCGTCAGGGATTGTGCGTGAAGATAAGTAAGTAATATTGTAAAATACTTCAAAACCATTGATGTAAAGAAAACCGCAGATTTGTGGGGGATTTCCGTTACAGTGATTGCGTCCATAATAGATTTAATTTAACCTCATCTTGCTATTATTTTTAATACTTTTATCGATTCTGGTGTGTTTCCTGATTTAATGAAGTATAGTAAAGTAATACCTTTATGTAAATTTGATAGTATATTAGACCCCGCTAATTTTAGACCTATTTCTGTACTAACAACTCTCAGTAAAATTGTTGAAATAATAATTTTGGATCAATTGTTTTTTTTTTAATCATCATCATCATCATTACAGCCCTTCACAAGTCCACTGCTGAACATAGGCCTCCCTCAAAGAATGCCACAAAGCACTTTTTTTAATACAAATAAATTACTTCATAAAAACCAATTTGGTTTTACAAGGGGTCGCTCGACGTCGGACGCCGGTGTTGAGCTTATGAAATATATTTTTAATGCCTGGGAGAATTCACAAGGTGCCCTAGGTATTTTCTGTGATCGTTTCAAGGCTTTCGATTGTGTTCATCATGAGACATTAATCAGGAAACTACAACATTACGGTGTAAAAAATTTGGCGCTTAGACTTATTACTTCATATTTAAGTAACAGAACTCAAAAAGTCGTGATCAATGGTAAAGGTTCCTCCGGATCGGTAGTATCAATGGGCGTTCCTCAGGGCCCGATTCTTGGCCCATTCCTGTTTTTAATCTATATTAATGACTTACCTTATCTTGTAAAGGACAATCACGATATAGTATTATTTGCTGACGATACCTCTTTAATTTTCAAACTCAAACGGCAGTTAATTAATTATGACGATGTAAATAATGCTCTATCGAAATTAGTACATTGGTTTAACGCCAACAATATGCTCTTAAACGGCAATAAAACAAAGTGTATTAAATTTACAATACCTAATGTAAAACATTCGAATACCAATGTACTGTTAAATGGGGAGGAGTTGAGTCTTGTGGATACCACTGTTTTTCTCGGTATTACTATTGACGCGAAACTTCAATGGGGCCCCTATATATCTAAATTAGCAAGCAGACTTAGTTCTGCAGCATATGCTGTAAGAAAGATTAGAAGTCTCACAGATGTTGAGACAGCTAGATTAGTGTATTTTAGTTACTTTCATAGTGTAATGTCTTATGGAATTTTGCTATAGGGTAATGCGACTGATATTGAAGCTATATTTGTTTTGCAAAAGAGAGCCGTTCGGGCGATTTATAATTTTAATTGTAAAAAGTCCCTCAGACAAAAATTTAAAGAAATAAACATATTAACTTTGGCATTGCAATATATTTATGAAAATGTAATGTATGTACATACATAAAAACATAAATAGCTTTAATAAGAATAAGGATGTGCATACTTTAAACACTAGGAACAAACATAAGCTTGTGATACCAGTTACTAGACTCCACAGAATCAGTAATTCATTTATGGGGCAATGTATACGCTTTTACAACAAAATCCCAGAACATATTCAAAGTTTGTCAATAAACAAGTTTAAAAGTTTTATTAAAGAAAAACTGTACAAAAAGGGTTATTATAATATCAAGGAATACATGAATGAAAATAACCCCTGGGAATAAGGTGATCGACACCATGCTGGTTCTATGAAAAATCATTTAAAATTGTATAAACGAAATTATTGTTAAGTGATGTTTGAAAAAAACAAAGAATCTGCATCTTGATTCCTTATCGACAAAAGATGTAAATGTCATTGGGCCACAGCATTCAGTTACTAATACATCTAAAGAGCAATATAAAAGGATTATTACGAAAATGTACCCAAAACACGTTCCTTTATACGTCGATTCAAAATAATCCAAAGAACCATGAACGTCGGACTCACCTGCCTTTTACTGTGAGCGACCAACTTCCCAACCTGCGCATTCGGCCCGGACTTCGTTCTGAACACGACCACGCACAGATCAAGCTGTGAGCGTTGACTTTTTGCCGAATTTCTAAAAAAGATTTCATAATTTTGTTATAATCATGTAACTAAGAGCCCTATAACTCCATGAGTCCCGTGAATAAACCGACACACACACACACACACACACGCACACACGCACACACGCACGCACGCACGCACGCACGCACGCACGCACGCACGCTCGCACGCACGCACACACGCACGCACGCACGCACGCACGCACGCACGCACGCACGCACGCACGCACGCACGCACGCACGCTCGCACGCACGCACGCACGCACGCATGCACGCTCGCACGCACGCACGCACACACGCACGTACGCACGCACGCACGCACGCACGCACGCACGCACGCATGCACGCTCGCACGCACACACGCACGTACGCATGCACGCACGCACGCACGCACGCACGCACGCTCGCACGCACGCACGCACACACGCACGCACGCACGCACGCACGCACGCACGCTCGCACGCACACACACACACACACACACACACGCGCGCGCGCGCGCTTGTATACGCGAGAGAGAGAGAAAGAGAGAGGGAGAGAGAGCAAGAAAGAAAGACGCTCACAAATTACCAGCGTGAAATAGCAGCTTAATGCTTGTCACCCTTATTCTATATAAAATGAAAACACATTTCATACATGCGATTTTGTTTAAAATAAGAAATAAATTATTACCTTTGACCCTCTTGAAACAGAGTAAAGTCGACTTCAGTGGGTTGAGTGGCGGTAAGTAATAGGCACGTGAGGTGTCGTGTAGAGGACATTGGTGGCAAAATACCCGCCAACCGAACTTCGTGCCATCCAACTCGAACTTTGCATATATCGATACAGTCGAAATATCTGTAAAAGATTACCAATGTTGAATACGTCTATTTAAAAAACAGTGTAGGGGCGGTGTAAGAATATCCACTACCCCATATCGTCCCGTGGGTGTCGTGAGAGGCGACAGTGGGAAACAATTCAGGAAATGGGCAGCAGCGTTTTCCTGATAACAACAAGGAAAAAAACTGCGGTTGCCAACTCTCTTGTAGAACGTAGTTGGTATGACAAATATTCCCCTTATAAGGCATTCTAGAGGGAGACCTACGTTCAGCAATGTACTTTTAATAGGCTGTAATGGAGCCGAGCACTAAATTTTATTTTCTATTAATCAGTGTATATATAGATGTTAGAATCGTAGATAAGCTTAAAATCATCTTCCAGTGAAATTTAAAAAAAGAAAGTATATAGAAATAGAAACTTTATATTATTTTATGTTACAGAATTAACTAGCTATACAATACATATTAGAAATAGCTTGGTAGCGACCACCTCTTTCCCAGAGTTATTCTCATCCATAAATTCCTTAATAATATTTTTTTATATATAAGAAGAGACAAATTAGCTCACGTGATAAGTGACTACCACCGCTCATGAACAACTGCAACACCAGGAAAGGGAATTGCAGATACGTTGCAGGAATTTTAAAGAGGAGGCTCTGTTAGAGAGAAGCCGTATTAGTCCGATAAAATCGCTGGCGGTGTCGAATCCACAAGGAAGTTGTGCGAGGAAGAAAACACAGTGGTGGACCGAAAAGCATCAGATGGTATGGTAGGTAGGTATCGCGAGTTTTGTTGAGATGTGCGATGGCGAAATTGAACGTTTGGAATGTCCGAACAATTTCTTTGAGCACTTCCCCAGTGGTAAATGCGACAGAATACGTAAAGAAATACAACATCTCTTCGCAGCGCCATGGAGTCAAGTCGATCAGAAAGAGCTCGGTCACCGACGGTTTGAACCGCTCCGCGCTAGATGCATTGAAATGGAAGGAGCTGGTGCTGGTGTGCCTTTTGCAACTTGCACCTTCTAAAGTTGTAGTGGTGTGCCGGCATGAAGTACTGACCCGCTCTACAAAGCACGCCAAGCTTTTTAGAGGGCCAATTTACTTCTAAATGACCGCAGAACTGAACATCATTCGATATGTCGACGCCGAGGATTCCGATGCCAACTGAGGCAACGAGGAGCGTGCCGTGAAACAGAGGAGGTACGACAAAGGGGCTCTTTTTAACGGTAAACGCGCAATTTTGTGTCTTCTGGGGATTGAATTGGACTAGACTTCATCATTACAGCCTTTCACAAGTCCACTGCTGAACATAGGCCTCCCCCAAGGAGTGCCACAAAGCACGGTCCTGAGCCACCTGTATCCATTGACTTTCTGCATGTCTTACCAGGTCGTCACTCCATCTAGTGGGAGGTCGCCCTACACTTCGCCTACTAGTACGAGGCTGCCACTCGAGAACCTTTCTTCCCCATCGATTGTCGGTTCTTCGAGCTATATGGCCGGCCCACTGCCACTTCAGCTTACTAATCCGTTGGGCTATGTCGGTTACTCTGGTTCTACTGCGGATATCCTCATTTCTAAGTTTATTACACAGAGAAACCCCGAGCATAGCCCTCTTCATAGCTCGCTGAGCAACCTTGAGCTTCCTCATACGGCCAGCAGTGAAGGACCACGTCTCAGATCCGTAAGTCATCACTGGCAACACGCATTGGTTGTACAATTTCGTTTTAAGGTTTTGAGGTATGTCTAACGAGAAGATGTGTCGTAGTTTCCCGAACGCTGCCCAGCCGAGTTGAATCCATCGATTGACCTCTCGGTCGAAGTTGGACTTACCTAGTCGAACTATTTGTCCCAGGTAAACATACTCGTCAACAACTTCGAGCTTAGTGCTCCCAACAACTACCGGCATAGGTGTGACATGGACGTTGAACATGATTTTTGTTTTGTCCATTTTCATCTTAAGACCTATCCGTTGGGAAACACTATTGAGGTCATTGAGCATAGTGCTTAGGTCCTCCAACGATTCTGCCATAAGGACTATATCGTCGGCAAATCGAAGGTGAGTGATGTACTCGCCATAGATGTTGATACCGCATTCTTTCCAGTCCAGCAGCTTGAAAACGTCTTCCAATGCAGCGGTGAAGATATAACGTCACCCTGTCTTACACTTCTCTGGAGTTGGATAGGTTTCGTACTCTGATTCTGTACTCGGATAGCCATCGTGGCTCTACTGTACAAACACTTCAGCACTTCGATATACCGACAGTCAACTTGGCATCGCTGTAGGGACTGCAGCACCGCCCAAATTTCGACGGAATCAAAGGCTTTCTCATAGTCCACATCCGCAAGGCAAAGTGGCAGATTATACTCCTCTGTCTTCTGTATAATTTGCCGAAGTGTGTGTATGTGGTCTATAGCCTTTTCGGAAACCGGCTTGTTCAGGAGGATGGAAGTCGTCAAGTCTGCGTGCGAGACGATTCGTAATGACTCTCGAAAACAGCGCGTAGACGCGGCTCAGAAGGGAAATCGGTCTGTAGTTCTTCAAGAGAGCGTTGTCGCCTTTCTTGAAGAACAAGACCACCGCACTTCTGCTCCACGCCTCCGGAGTAGTGCCACCATGGAGGACGGAATAAAAGAGCTTCTGAAGGACTTCAAGTACCGGTTTTCCACCCGCTTTCAAAAGTAATTTCGGCTGTAATTCCATCCTCGCCCGGGGACTTTCCGTTTTTAAGGTGCTGGAAAGCCATTCTAATCTCGCTCAGACTGACGTCCGGGATATCTTCAGAATAGTGTCGGATAAGACTCGCTCTTGGATCGTTACTCACACTTGCGCCCTATCGCCTAGACTTAGTCGCCCCCAATCCGAGATTTGACTTTCAACAAAGACTGCTCTTCAGACAAAACTTTGTTCCGGCACTCGACGACGTGTTCCCGAGAAATATTAGCACGGTCGGCGCAGAACGCATCACCAGTGCTGTCATGTGCATAGCAATGAATGTTCCCGGTTTGCAATATATCACAGGATAGGTGGAACAGGAACGGGGTAGGTGCTAGCTAGCTAGCACCTAGCCTTGTGTAACACCATTATTCACAGGCTTGGGAGTCCAATCATGTACCGTCGACTAGGACCTTGATGCTCCCATCTGAGAGAAAACTGGTGATCCAATTGCATAATTTCTCGGGATGCCCATAAGGTGGAAGCTTAGAAAGAAGAGCTTTGTGCAAACTTATCGTTATGTCCAAACTAACCACCAAGGCCACCCCCTTGGACTCGACCGCCTACGCCCGTCGGTGTGTTAGATAAACAAGAAGATCATCAGTTGAGCGACCCCGGGGGAAATCGTACTGGCGGTTCGTGAAAATAAAGATACCGCGTGAGCTGGCAGTTAATAATGGACTCCATTATTTTCGAGAACAAGATGATGGTGACAGGCCTGTCATTGGACGGTTCAGTCCCTACTTTTTTTGGGGATCGGGTGCAGAAAAGCTGTCTTACATGAATTTGGAACTACGCCTAGGGAGTAGGAGTACCAGAAAAGACGCGTTAGGACCGTTGCCAACTTTGGAGCACACGTCCTCAGCACAATTGGGGGGATTCCGTCAGACTCACTCGACTTTTGGGTGTCCGGGTAGAGGACTGCTTTGCGTACTGAGCACTGTGTGAATCGCACAACAGGCATAGAGCAATCACACCGTGCGATGGTCGGCGGTGTGTTCTCCCCGTCCTCGAGTAGAGTTGGACGCAAAAAGGTAGTCTAAAAGGTCGGATTTCTCTTTTGCGGCGTGGACCAGTGAGTCGTCCTCACTGTGCAGAGATGGAAGTGATGACTTACAGAAATCCCCTTGAACAGCCTTAGCGAGAGACCAGATTGCACGGGTTCACGAAGGAAGAATATTTCGTCAGTTCTGCCAATGTGTCCATACTTTGCCTTGGCAATACGTCTTTTAAAGGACCTGGAGGCGGAATTATACTTTTTTTTAAGGATGCTGGTGTTTACATTCTGGGCCATCGAAACTTTAGCTTAGGACTGAAAACACTCCTGCTCATTGCGTAATGCAGTCTTACAGGAGCGATCAAACCAATTATGGATACCACAGATGATGAAATAAATGTTTCCATTCCCTGTAGTACCACATCAGTAACAGAATCAGCAACATCGCTAGGACCATCCGATGAGAAGCAAACCCGGCCCCATGGGTAGTATGCAGAGAAAGACCACAGTCGGTCCCAATCCGCCGACCTGTAATGCCAGACACGGCGGCATCGTGCAGGACGCAACCGTGATGGGAGCGTGAGTGGCACCACACTCCGAATCAGGCAGTTATTCGAAGAACCAAGAGGGACATCGACAGGAATAGAGGTCAGCAGAACGACCAACAGGGAAGGTGCATGATGCTCCACATCTGGAATCCGCGTAGGCAGAGTAACCAACTGTGTTAGACCATATGCTAAGGCAAAGTCGTAAACAGATCTACCCGCATGATCGGTTAAACGTGAACCGAGCCATTCGATGTAGTGGGCGTTATAATCGCCAAGAATTACGATCTTTGGGGATGGGCTTTGTTGTAGCAAGGAATATGCAGCCATTTGGCCTTGGTCGATGAGTCGGCCTGTGTCGGCATTATCGCTATGGGACCTGAGGCACCCATAGACGCGGGAATGATATAATAACCGTTTTTATACAATTTTTCTTTAACAAAGTTTTTTAATTTGGCAGAGGACAAATTTTGTATACTTTCGGGGATTTTGTCACAAGAATGAATTACTGACTCTGTATCGAGTATCGAGCTGCTGTCTGTACCTAGTATACAGAGGGCTTATTTGTTTTAAATGTTATATATGTTTCAATATATAAAATTCCTCAATTTTTTGTTTTAGAGACTCTTTAGGTTCTATATGTAAGATAGAGTGGGATAGGGGGTTTGCACTTACTTGAGCACATCGTCGAACGCAATCCAGAAGACACCGTGATCACGGTCGTCGGGCGCAGCGTGGGGGGCGACGGCGCGCCGCAAGGCGTCGGTCCAGCGCGGGCAGGCGTGCGCCCACGCGCCGCGCCACGTGTAGTGGCCCCACGGGTTGCGCAGCCGCAGCAGCCGCAGCGGCTCGCCACCGCTGCCACCGCTGCCACCGCTACACAGCTCCACAACGTCCAGCACGGAGTACGCGTGCCGCGGCCGAAGACCCAGCCGCTGGTATTCCTCCTCATCCACCTGTCATTTTTGCACACAATATTTATATACTTACGACAGTCAGTTGCGTATTGCGTCACGTTGCACGAGAATGTTGCCGATGATAAGGGTCAATGACTTCTGTCAAGTAATAAAATGTGTGGGCATAAAAATAGATAACGTTCAAATTGCAAGCAATATGCAACCTTCTGTCTTACATTTTTCATTTCAACTTCATTACATATATATAATATATATATATATATATATATATATATATATACACGAATATAGTCATTTCTCCTTTGGACATATTGTTACTATTATGTAATACCGAGTGTTCTAGTCCCTTCCGGTTGTGAGGGCAATGATCTGGATTAACCTAAAATGAATTAGTTAGTTTCAGAATGCGAAAATAAACACTTACTTTGTACGACGACGTAATTTTACAGGGTTATTTTGCAATATACGCCACAATTTTCAGAGAAGGTATACAGGCGAATGTACGAGGCGAATGGTAAAAAAAAAATAATTAAAAACAATCTCAATCATCCTATGCATTTTATCTTTTAAATTTAGAGTGCGTGATAATGCATTATTTTAACTGATTGTCATTCATAAATATCTAACGCCTACTATTTTACTACGCACGCACACATTCGTAAGGGTCACTCGTTCGGCAAAAACGATGTGAATTTAATATCAGACAGAGGAGCGCGCGTATACGTTGTTGTTGTCCATAAATTATATTCAATTTGGACAGAGATAGCTCTGTATTTATTTCAATGATAAAATCAAAGACTATCCGCAGTAAAGTAAACGATGACGAAGAAATGTCTCGTTCCTGTCCTTAGTTTCGACGTAATGTCTACCCGACAAAATATGCTAAGACCACGTCCGAATCCAAAAACTTATAATTTTTGCTTGAATAGGAGCCAGGTACAGGTATGGTTATTTGAGAGGTTCTTTAAAGCAGATTGGCAATATCCTTCAATACGATAAATACATTATTTGGCTTGCTTTTACGAGATGAGGTCAAAAAGTTCGCAGAGTGAAAGGGAAAGGAGTGAAATTAAACATGGAATAATTTTCTTTGGTATACTCTCCATTAACCCTGATACAGTTCTCAAACCAATCAAGTAACTTATTAAAATCTTCGAAAAAAATTGATAGTCCCTCAAAATAGGCAGAAATTGCCGACTTTACTTCTTTGTCATGTGTAAAAAAAAAATCCGAAGGTATTTTTTTCATATTTGGGAAGCAATAATAATGAGAAGAATCCTAATTTAGACTATAGGGCGAGGGGGAGTGGTTTAAAGTTTTGAAGCCGCACTTATGTAAGGAAGTCATCGCAACATGACTCTTGTGTGCTCCTTTTGCACAAAGGAGCACACCTCAAAAGCTTCTGTTTAAATGACTTCAAAAAGGAGGAGGTACTCAATTCGACTGCATTTTATTTCTTTATTTTTATGTGTGTTATCTCACATCTTTTTTTCTAGGTGAACAGATTCTGATGATTCTTTTTTTATTAGAAAGCTGGTGCTTGTCACGTGGTCCCATATAAATCTGATCAAGGTCATAACCAGTAGTTTTTTAGTTATCCTTAATAATTTATACTGAAATCGGTTGTTGTTCGCGCCTAACGCTAATGTCAAGAATCGACGCCAGGGGGCGCGCAGAGCGGTGATTTCCTACCGTTTGACGTTCGAGCGAAACCCGACTGGTTGCTTGTGGGGCGGGTCGGAAGTGATTGAATGCAGTGCAGTAACTAGCACGGTGTGAGGTCGTCCTGTATAACCTCTATTAGTGTCGGTTCGTTAGCAAATTTATGCAACGACGAGGAATTTGTGGAGTCTAGAAAAATAGACGCCGGGTCGATTAATTGGTTGGAAGTTAATGTTTAACTGTACCGTCGCGTTAAGTGCCTTTTGTGTGTTGTCTATGTAGTTTTTGCGTGCCAGCTAGGCTGACTTTGAATCTTAATGCGGGCGTAGTATTTAATATCTTATAATCTTGTTGTTACGTAAAACGGAAGTGACCTTTTATCCACCGTTCTTTAGTCGTGCCGTGTGTTACTTTGTTGATTACGATTAACGGGGATTTAGTTGAGTTTGAAGTTAATTAAATGTACAATAAAGTTGATGGATTGAAATAGTGTACAATAAAGTTGATAAACTGAAATAGTGAAATGAAGACAGAAGTTGTCATTTGGTGATCGCCCCCTTTTGAGAGATCTCACCTTTGGAGTAGAGGTAGCGCCGATGGATCGGATGGAGCGGTCAGACTTCAACGGTCCAGTCAGGTCAAACTTTATACACACCACTAAACACCACTTTACATGCACCTACACCTACCTACGACCTGACCGAGCCTTGGGGCAGTCTTCGCCTCGGAACCAGGTACGTCCTATTTATTCACCTAGGCTATCTCTATTGTGTAGGTCAATTGTCCATAGGCATTTTGAGCCCCGTCCTCTGCTGCTCGTCGATTGGGCTACTGATGGGCCCTAGTCCTGTCTACCTTGGTTGGGGCAGCTCAGGGCGTGTACAGTTGTAATTTTTTTTAATTTACCACTTGTTTCTTGAATAGCATCTTTAATTTTTCAAATTTTTATAATCGATGAATAAAATCCCCGAATCCCAAAAAAATTGAAGCCATACTTTTTCTAGCCGATTGTGACACCTTGAACTTCTTAGGCGGCTCTGCGCCTTTTTATGCCACTACGGACGTTCAGCAGTATAATTTTAATTTTACTTTTTTAACCTGCTTTGAGTTAGATTCATAGTGATGAATCCAATTTTCATCCCCAGTCATAATTCGGTTCATTATTTCGTTCCTGTTCTTACTACACAGGTCAAAAAGTGAAAACACTCGACCCGCTGCTGTTTCAGAAACGTTATGAGCATTTTTGTACCCATTTTGCACTGACCATAGACATGCCAAGATGGTCATGAAGAATTTTTAAAACAGTCTTAGATGTTACTCCACTCATTTCGGCAATCCGTTTTTTTCTTCAGACGAGCATCTTCAAGAACAAGTTTTTAACATTTTCGACAATGTCTGAGGAAGTTGCCTCAATCGGTCAGCCGGAGCACTGATCGTCTTCACTTGAGTTTCTGATTTTCTTGAAAATGCTTTGCCCCTTATAAATCATCGTTTTTCTAGAGCAAGAGTCCGCGTAAACAGATGACATCTCTTCCATAAGGCGTTTTTGGCGTTTTTACTTGCTTAGTGAGGAATTTAATCACGACATGAAACTTAATTTTCTCCATTGTTAGTGTTCACTACGTGATTGACTTGTTTATCCTGTGATATCTCAAGAGTATTAATGAGCCGATCTGGCTGAAACTTAACATTTATAGTTCTATTGAGTTAACAAATAGTGATAGTTTAAAAAATCCCCCCTACCTTCTTCCCCTCGCCTACCTAGTACAAAAGCAAAACAAATAAAGTTAATAAGTAACACAAGGAGATGAAATTTTTTTACCGTGAGATGGTAGCAGTTAACATTTTAAATACCAACTGCGAAATACCTAAATCGGCAACTAAAAGCAGCAGCAAGGTTGCGAGACATGTGACGATCACGTTTATCAATAAAAATGTTCAGTTATACCCCTAAAAGCAGATGGGGTCTGTGTGTGCGCAGAGCTCACCTTCATGTTGCCGCCGCCGCAGCTGGCGCCCATGAGGAAGCAGGCCTGGCGCGAGGAGAGCAGCTGCGCCCACACCAGGTCGCGGTCCAGCGCCTCCAGCGGGCCCGCGCCGCCGCCGCCCGCCTGCAGCGACACCGACTCGCACGGCGCGCCCGTCAGCGTGCACAGCCCTGCGCACCGCTAGTCTTATCAACATACACATTGTCTACGTGGTAGAGCCATGCTGTAGCTATATTATGGTTGTAGCACGAATGGGTCGGCTCGACCGGGGAAGGACCACGTTCTCACAGAAAACCAGCGTAAAATAGCAGCTTAACGCTGCTGTGTTTCGTATGGTGCGTGTATAGAACCGGACGAGAGACCGGAGACCCTTTTACTGGCAAAGCGGCATTCCATCTTAGTCCTCACGGGTGACAACGCATCTGCATCTTGAGTCTTTATTGAGGATAGATGTAGATGTCTATGACGCCCATTACACGGTAGGTTTTGCTGTCAGTTTTACAACAATCACGGTTGTGATTGACGAATAACCTATCGTGTAATGCGGTGATTGACGGTTGCATGAAATTGATTGACAAATATCTGGATATTTTGATTTTTACGTCAATCAACTATTAGTCACGAATTTTGATTGAACGTGTAATGGCATTTCGTCAATCACGCGTCAGTCAACGCTTAGACAGCAATGGAGGCGGACGCAGAATATATTGAAGAGGCTGCTTCTACGCGCTCGCGCAGCCCGTCGCCACTCCCACCAAATGTGTTTCAGCCAGAAAAAGATTTTATTTTAAATTTTCAGTCTCTCCCCGAGTTGTGGGACACGAAAAACCCCGGGTAGTTTGGATGCCCCTAATACCAGCCACGCCCCTAATTCCAGCCTTTCCGCCTTTTTACTTCGTAAATAAGATTTCTAGTAGTCTTAACTACAAATATGGTCGGCTAAAAATTCTTCGTAATTAGAGGAAAGTATATTTCAAATATTACCTCACAGTTTTAAACCTAACAGTGTTAAATTAAAAATCAAAACATAAGCCATAGAATTATTACGTAATAATTTTATGACATAAGCATATTTTACATTAGCTCATCTTTAGGCTTTTTGATTTGTATGAATGTGACTATAGACATAGTAATGCAGCTATTTTTGTTTAAATTTATAAGTTTTTTATTTTCTTTTAGTGGAAATTAATGGGGCTGTAATTAGATATACGAAATTTATGGAGTGCATAATGTCAGTCGCCCGACTGTTATTTGGTTTGACGTAAATAATAAGAAGTACCTTATTTCAACCACGTAATATAAATCAGGGCTGTCATAAACTAGAATAAATACCATTAATTTGAACTCACACAGAAAACCAACGTTGAATAGCAGCTTAACGCTGCTGTGTTTCGTATGGTGAGTGTAGAGAACCGGCGACCCTTTTTACTGGCAAAGAGGCATTCCATCTTAGTCCTCACGGGTGACAACGCATCTGCATCTTAAGTCTATATTGAGGATAGATGTAGATGTCTATAGGTCATAGTAGCCACTTACCATCAGGTGGACTGTGTGCTCGTTTGTCACCCTATCCTATATAAAAAAAAATATAACTTATTTTATAGTTAAGTAAGTTATGATCAATTCGTCTATATTTTAAAATTGGTGTTTGATTTAAAAGTTTAACAAATGATACGTATTTGGTATATGTTAAGAACACCATACAATATATAATTATTTTTTGAGAAAGACAAAAATAAACAATAAATGTAATTAACTACAACTTAGTAATACTAATTTTATTATAACTTAAGAACATAAATGAAAAAGTCATAAAAAGGAAAGTAGTTCAGGACCATGCTTTGCGGCAGTCTATGGAGGATGATGTTCTGTAGTCGACTTGTGACTTGGATGATTAAATTATAAGAAAACGGTGTACTGTAATACATAATTTTTAATATAATATTGTTTTAATTAATTGTTTAGTGTTAAAAGAAAAATTTAACTGCTTAAAGCTAAACCACAGTAAGGTAAGAAGTAAAACATTAAAATAAAATAATTGTTGTCGTAATACATATTCCATACTTGTGACATGCATGATTTAAAATTAAAAGTTGTTATGAATTTATTTCAGTGCCCCTAAAATTTACCTACAATAGGTACCTACCAAAAACTCAAAAGGCATAGCCCTATGCTATGCTGGCATTAAATACACAAAAGGAAATTGAAATTGACACTAAAAGGCTGGTAATAGGGGCATCCACCCTGTACGAATAAATGTAAAAGTTAAGCTTATTTTTCGTCCATAAATGCGTTTCAAATAAAGCCGCGTATCTATTATGCACTCCAAGAGGTCTAACATTTGCGCGCGTTAAATTAAAATGGGTAAAATGATATTAAATATTACAATTTTTCCTATTCGTTTTTTTTTTTTCTTTTTCTTTTCAAGATATAAAATTATAATTAAATGGTGAATCGAAAATGAACTTAGTTTATAGGTACGTCCTTTCACTCGGAAAATTTGAGTTTGACTGACATCAGTCAGCATGAGCGTGTAATGTCGAAATTATTCTATCATACAAAAGTTAATCATGATTGATCGAACTGATTGACGCTTGCCTAGGCGTGTAATGGGCGTCTATGGGTCACAGTAACCACTTACCATCAGGTGGACTGTGTGCTCGTTTGTCACCCGATAAAAAAAAATACAGCTCACGTGCACAGCCCTACGCATCGGTAATGTTGTCGCGACACCCGTCAGCGTGCACAGCCCTGCGCACCGCTAGTCTTGTCAACATACAGCTCGCGTGCACAGCCCTACGCATCGGTAATGTTGTCGCGACACCCGTCAGAGTGCACAGCCCTGCGCACCGCTAGTCTTGTCAACATACACGCTCGCGTGCACAGCCCTACGCATCGGTAATGTTGTCGCGATACCCGTCAGCGTGCACAGCCCTGCGCACCGCTAGACTTGTCAACATACACGCTCGCGTGCACAGCCCTACGCATCGGTAATGTTGTCGCGACACCCGTCAGCGTGCACAACCCTGCGCACCGCTAGTCTTGTCAACATACACGCTCGCGTGCACAGCCCTACGCATCGGTAATGTTGTCGCGACACCCGTCAGCGTGCACAGCCCTGCGCACCGCTAGTCTTGTCAACATACACGCTCGTGTGCACAGCCCTACGCATCGGTAATGTTGTCGCGACACCCGTCAGCGTGCACAGCCCTGCGCACCGTTAGTCTTGTCAACATACACGCTCGCGTGCACAGCCCTACGCATCGGTAATGTTGTCGCGACACCCGTCAGCGTGCACAGCCCTGCGCACCGCTAGTCTTGTCAACATACACGCTCGCGTGCACAGCCCTACGCATCGGTAATGTTGTCGCGACACCCGTCAGCGTGCACAGCCCTGCGCACCGCTAGTCTTGTCAACATACACACTCGCGTGCACAACCCTACTCATCGGCAATATTGTCGCCTCACCCGTCACTGCGCACAGCCCCACGCATCGCTATTGTTATCGTGACACCCGTCAGTGTGTAGCCTTATGCCCCGGTAACGTTATCGCGACATCAATCTGTGTGTATAGCCCTGCGCACCGGTAATGTTATCGCGACACCCACAAGTGTGTACGATAAATTGATCACACCCGTCGGTATGTCAAAAGCCTATAGTCAGTGTGCTAAGAATATTATCACAACTCGCACAGTGCGTCCACTAGTGTGCACAAAACAAATAGTGTGTAAAAGAACCTGAATAGAATAATATGCAAATAACGTCCTTTTACTTAAAGTATATCATCTACGTTTCAGACCTCGATTAGCGTACAGACAGCGTGCTAAAACTGTTACCTGATTACGATCATAGTCCGGAGGTAAGGTTTCATCGTAACTAACAAAACGAACCCAAACTTGGCATACCTAGTTCTACTCGTCCAGGAGTTCCACTAGCAGTTACCGAAGTACACCTTCAGGTCATTCCATCAAGTCCGGAGGTAAGGTCTCGTCATAACTAACAAAACGAGCCCAAACACGGCACACCTAGTTCTACTCGTCCAGGAGTTGCAGTAGTAGTCACCAACGTACACCATCAGGTCATTCTGTCAAATCCGGAGGTAAGGTCTCGTCATAACTAACAAAACGAGCCCAAGCTCGGCACACCTAGTTCTACTTGTCCAGGAGTTGCAGTAGTAGTCACCAACGTACTCCATCAGGTCATTCCTTCAAGTCCGGAGGTAAGGTCTCGTCATAACTAACATAATGAGCCCAAACTCGGCACACCTAGTTCAACTCGTCGAGGAGTTCTAGTAGCATTCACCGTATACTTTCAGATCACTCCATAAAGTCCAAGACGAATAGGATTTATATATATTTATATATTATAAATCCCACTTGCTTTTAGCGAAACAAAACATTATAATAAGAATTTGTGATTATAAAAATATTTATATTATGTATGTATTATTTTACTTTGTCAGGTCATGTACCTATGTATCAAATTCGAATATTTTGTGTTTGTACAGCGATCTTTTTCAGCTGCTGCAGGCGATACAGCGACCACCCGCGATAGCGGCCGAGCGCCGACTGTAGTTTCATCGAAATTTTTGTACAACAAATCAAAACAAGCACTAAAAATGAAATAACCCTTATTGCAATCCATTAGGATTCATCCGTATCAGCAAAATATGTCAAAAAATAAGCATCAGTTTTTATTTTTTTTTACGACCATTTGCGACATTTTGATAAAAAGTAATCACCAGCATTTTTTATTGAATATGTCTGCCTACTTACAGTATTTTTAGATATCTTAATATATGTTGATAATAGAACAAAAAATGTACCGAAATATGAGCCGGTATCGTTAATTTTGTAGTAAATGGCTAGGGAAGATCCTTTTTACAATGTAAAAAACTATTATTTTCAACAAAAAAGTTACCACTATTTGAAGATATAGAACCATTCTATATGTTGTAGTTATTAGTTATATTTGATTTGGTTTAGTTTTGTCACAAAATGTACCGAAAAACAGCATAATTTGGCCCGATTTGCAAACGCACCCTTAAAGACGATTTTATATATTTTTTTGCCCTTGATAGAGACAAAGGACAAGTGTACCTACCATGCAGCCTATATCGATTTGATACTTTATGTAATCGATTTATTTTGGTAAACATTACCTACCTTCAATTGCTCTTCCAGAAACGAGTGCTTCGTAACAACCGTGCAGTTTCGCTACGGCTTTTTCAATCAATGGAACCCACAACTGTTTTCTCTTCGCCTAGGAAAATAAAATAATTTCATTTGAGTTTTAATTCTTGTTATATCAATTTTTTTAAATATTATTAGTTTCTTTTTTTTTTGTTTTTTTTTTAACTATATTTTCCTTTTGCAACATTTGTATATTAAGCTTTTCATTTTCAACTGCAGATTACTATATCAAACACAGTAATTTACAAAGCATAAAATAAACGTTTTTGCCTTGACGTATTATGGCCTTGAATATATTTAACACACTATTAAAAAAGAAATATTTGAAATTACACATTTACAGGATATTCAGTCATAATTGTTGGCACCATTTTTAATTTTTTGGCGACACTCTCTATAGTCTGTGCGACTGTTTGACTACAGACTTTTGTTGATCTTGGCAGTATGAACATAAACAATGACTGCTTTGCCTTACTCATAAAAATCGACGCCAATTTAAGAAAAGCTTCAATTGCTCTCTCTCTCTCTCTCTCTCTTCTAATTAAATTAAAATATAAAGAGACAGTTAAAAGATTAGGAGATACTTAATATATGTAAGTCAGCGATAATCATCGATTATAAGTAAGGCCGTGAATATTTTTTTATATTTTTTTTTTCTGTACTTCTCCATTGTAAACTTTAACTATTCCAAAATTCACACTCTTCTTTAAGCGCAATATCTTTCAAATAAGGTACAAAGCATTCTCTTCACGGATTAATTTATCAATATCGGTCGAGCACACAGTCGCGTACAATCGCGAACAGTAGTTTACAGCCGCTCACAACCGTACAGTCGCATACCGCGGCGCAGTGAGGCACAGTCGCGCACAGTCACGTACCGTTATTGTACAGTCGCGCACAGCGGTGCAGTAGAAACGTGCGCGAGCGGGCACCGACCTGCGAGTAGACAAGCTGGCCCTTCTTGTTACAGGGCAGCAGGTCGTCGACGGTGACGGTGAGCCAACGGCCGTCCTTGCACAGGCGCAGCTGGTAGGCGCCACGCGCCGGCTCGCCGCGCACCAGCACGCCGCGCACCAGCGCGCTGCGCTCCGCCAGCACGGCCAGCGCCGACAGCAGCCAGCAGTTGCCCAGCACGCCTGCACCACGCACACAACCCATAACTATATAACATGACATAAAGTGCATTGACCTTTCCGTTTCTTGATCAGGGGTGCCAAACCATTTTTATTAACGGACTGTATATGTTGATGTGAACACGTCTTTAACCTTTCAAGAGTCTGAATATCCGTTTGGTGATCTACTTGTCAAATTTATAGACCCCGCCAAAGAGTATAGTAATATTTAGAAGGGACCCCTTAGAACAATTGATCATCATTTTTCATCATTACAGCCCTTCACAAGTCCACTGCTGAACATAGGCCTCCCCCAAAGAATGCCACAAAGCACGGTCCTGAGCCACCTGCATCCATCGACTTCCTGCATATCTTACCAGGTCGTCACTCCATCTAGTGGGGGGACGCCCTACACTTCGCCTGCCACTTCAGCTTACTAATCCGTTGGGCTATGTCGGTCACTCTGGTTCTACTGCGGATATCCTCATTTCTGAGTTTATCACGCAGAGAAACTCCGAGCATAGCCCTCTCCATAGCTCGCTGAGCGACCTTGAGCTTCCTCATCCGGCCAGCAGTGAAGGACCACGTCTCAGTTCCGTATGTCATCACTGGCAACACGCACTGGGTGTACAGTCTCGTTTTCAAGTTTTGAGGTATACCTGACGAGAAGATGTGTCGTAATTTCCCGAAAGCTGCCCAACCGAGTTGAATCCGTCGATTGACCTCTCTGTCGAAGTTGGACTTACCTAGTCGGACTATTTGTCCCAGGTAAACATACTCGTCAACAACTTCGAGCTTAGTGTTCCCAACAACTACCGCCATAGGTGTGACATGGACATTAAACATGATCTTTGTTTTGTCCATGTTCATCTTAAGACCTATCCGTTGAGAAACACTATTGAGGTCATTGAGCATAGTGCTTAGGTCCTCCAGCGATTCTGCCATAAGGACTATATCGTCGGCAAATCGAAGGTGAGTGATGTACTCGCCATTGATGTTGATACCGTATCCTTTCCAGTCCAGAAGCTTGAAAACATCTTCCAATGCAGCGGTGAAGAGTTTTGGGGATATGATGTCACCCTGTCTTACACCTCTCTGCAATTGGATAGGTTTCGTACTCTGGTTCTGTACTCGGATAGCCATAGTATCCCTACTGTACAAGCACTTCAACACTTCGATATACCGACAGTCAACTTGGCATCGCTGAAGGGACTGCAGCGCCGCCCAAATTTCGACGGAATCAAAGGCTTTCTCATAGTCCACATACGCCAGACATAGTGACAAATTGTACTCCTCGGACTTCTGTACAATTTGCCGAAGGGTATGTATGTGGTCTATGGTGCTAAAGCCTTTTCGGAAACCGGCTTGTTCGGGAGGCTGGAAGTCGTCAAGTCTGCGCGCGAGACGATTCGTAATGACTCTCGAAAACAGCACGTAGACGCGGCTCAGAAGGGAAATCGGTCTGTAGTTCTTCAAGAGAGCGTTGTCACCTTTCTTGAAGAACAAGAGCACCCCACTTCTGCTCCACGCCTCCGGTGTAATGCCACCATGGAGGACGGAATTAAAGAGCTTCTGAAGGACTTCAAGTACCGGTTTTCCACTCGCTTTCAGAAGCTCCGCTGTAATTCCATCTTCGCCTGGGGCCTTGCCGTTTTTAAGGTGCTGGAGAGCCATTCTAATCTCGCTCAGACTGACATCCGGGATATCATCGGAATAATGTCGGATAAGACTCGCTCTTGGATCGTTACTCACACTTGCGTGCGGCTCCAATGATGACGTGTACAGCTGCCCATAGAACCTCTCAATCTCACTCAAAATCTCAGGTGCCCCGGAAACGATGCTGCCACATTCGGTCTTCAGCTTTGACAGTTGGCTCTTTCTGGCAGACAGATCTCTGGCAAAGACTATGGAGCCTTGGTTCCGCTCGATCGCTTCTTCAATACGAGCTGTATTGAAGTTGCGTAAGTCCCGCCGCATGCATTTGGAGATCTGTCTGTTCAGTTGCCTGTATGCTGTCAAATCTGTTGAAGAATGCAGCTTCATCTCCCGTCTAACAGCCATGAGATTAAGAGTGTGATCGGAGAGTTTTTGTGTTCTTCTGCGGCGGGTCTTGCAAAACTTAGCTCCGACCGCATGGACAGTTTCCACGAGCTTGTCATTCAAATCGTCCACTTCATTGCAGTCTTCTAGGCACTGAAAACGGTTTTGTAACCCGAGCTGAAAGGTTTCGGGACCTTGGATTAGAGCACGAGGGGGACGGAGCGTTGACTTCATTAGACGAGACCTCTCCAACTTAACGTTTAGGTTCAGTGTGCCTCTAACCATTCGGTGATCGCTGCCGGTTTTCACCCTCGCGCTCACTGAGACATCACTGAACAGTTGTCGTCTGGTCGTCATAATGAAGTCAATCTCATTTTTTGTCGAACCGTCGGGGCTCGACCAGGTCCACTTTCTGTGGGGCCGCTTCTGGAAGAAAGAGTTCATCATAAAGAGTCCCTCTTTCTCCATGAAGTTGGCCAGCTGCTGGCCCCTTGGGTTCCGTTGCCCTATTCCAAATTTTCCCACTTTCAGCTCACCGTTCTCTCTTGTGCCTAGTTTTGCATTGAAGTCTCCCAATAACACCGTATATTGGGTTTTGGAGGAATGCATGGCTCTAGAGATATCCTCATACATTTCCTCCACCTCCTGATCGGGGTGTGCCGAGGTTGGTGCGTAAACCTGTATGACCTTCAGCGAATACCGTTTGGTGATTCTGAGTATAAGGTACGCAACCCTCGTCGACACACTCTCAATCTTTACAACGTTGTTAACGAGAGACTTGTGGACGATAAATCCGACACCTCCTTGGGACAGATGGTCGCCTTCCCGGTAATAGAGCAAGTTGCCGGATTCGAGGATTACCGTGTCCTCCCCCTCTCTTCTTCCAGCTCCACAATCTTCTCGTCAGTCCGCAGGGTGCGTGCGTTGTATGTTGCCAGGTCGAGTCGTCGTAGGTGGCAACCGAACCTCCACCGGAGATTCTTAGCACCCCCTGCCCCGCCGTTACCATGGTCGCCACCATAGCCAGGAATAGCGGGGCCGCCGGAGACTGGGGGCCGTTTATTATTGTCATTGCTCATAGGGGGTATATTGGTTTAGTTGCCACGCTTGGCGAGCGGGTTGGCAACCGCAGTTTTTTTATTGTATTTTTGCCGTTACCAGGAAGATGCTGCTCCCATCTCCTGCCTGTTTCCCTTTGTCGCCTTTTACGACACCCACGGGAAGATATGGTGTAGTGGATATACTTAACCGCCACTACACGGAACAATTGATAAGAGTGTTTAAAACTTAGAGTACAAATAAGAAAGATATAGAGCGCGCGTATCACAAAATGCCCATTATGCCAAGCGTAACCAGATGTTCTATAGATACTGGTACATACGGTGGTTGAACAGTGATGCGCAAAGATTGACGCCTATGCGTTATTGTACTTTTTTTGTTTATTTAAAAAAACGTTACCCCCCCCCCCCCCCCACTAGGATTTTCTCCTGTATCGCAGAGGCAGTTTACAAACACAAATTACACAAGAAAACATCCAGACCCAGAACAATTATTTGTAGGCCATACAAATACTAGTTCCGTGCGGGATCCGAACCCGCGGCCCCCAGCGCAGCAACTCATTGCTAAGCCGCTGCGATACGGAGCCGTCATTAATTTGATTATTAAGTTATTAATTTATTAATTTGATTATGTATTTGTAAATATTAGGTAAGCGATAATTATAAAAATTAACATTGTAACTTTATCCTCGTGTATCTGGTGCGGGCGGGCAGTACGAGCAGTGCGAGCAGTACGGGCAGTACGCACCCTGCGAGATGTCGGAGGGGCGCGGCTCGCGGAACACCAGCCAGGGCAGGCGCGGGTCCGCGTCTACGTGTATCTGGTGCGGGCGGGCAGTACGAGCAGTGCGAGCAGTACGGGCAGTACGCACCCTGCGAGATGTCGGAGGGGCGCGGCTCGCGGAACACCAGCCAGGGCAGGCGCGGGTCCGCGTCTACGTGTATCTGGTGCGGGCGGGCAGTACAAGCAGTGCGAGCAGTACGGGCAGTACGCACCCTGCGAGATGTCGGAGGGGCGCGGCTCGCAGAACACCAGCCAGGGCAGGCGCGGGTCCGCGTCTACGTGTATCTGGTGCGGGCGGGCAGTACGAGCAGTGCGAGCAGTACGGGCAGTACGCACCCTGCGAGATGTCGGAGGGGCGCGGCTCGCGGAACACCAGCCAGGGCAGGCGCGGGTCCGCGTCCACGTGTATCTGGTGCGGGCGGGCAGTACGAGCAGTGCGAGCAGTACGGGCAGTACGCACCCTGCGAGATGTCGGAGGGGCGCGGCTCGCGGAACACCAGCCAGGGTAGGCGCGGGTCCGCGTCCACGTGTATCTGGTGCGGGCGGGCAGTACGAGCAGTGCGAGCAGTACGGGCAGTACGCACCCTGCGAGATGTCGGAGGGGCGCGGCTCGCGGAACACCAGCCAGGGCAGGCGCGGGTCCGCGTCCACGTGTATCTGGTGCGGGCGGGCAGTACGAGCAGTACGGGCAGTACGCACCCTGCGAGATGTCGGAGGGGCGCGGCTCGCGGAACACCAGCCAGGGTAGGCGCGGGTCCGCGTCCACGTGTATCTGGTGCGGGCGGGCAGTACGAGCAGTGCGAGCAGTACGGGCAGTACGCACCCTGCGAGATGTCGGAGGGGCGCGGCTCGCGGAACACCAGCCAGGGCAGGCGCGGGTCCGCGTCCACGTGTATCTGGTGCGGGCGGGCAGTACGAGCAGTGCGAGCAGTACGGGCAGTACGCACCCTGCGAGATGTCGGAGGGGCGCGGCTCGCGGAACACCAGCCAGGGCAGGCGCGGGTCCGCGTCCACGTGTATCTGGTGCGGGCGGGCAGTACGAGCAGTGCGAGCAGTACGGGCAGTACGCACCCTGCGAGATGTCGGAGGGGCGCGGCTCGCGGAACACCAGCCAGGGCAGGCGCGGGTCCGCGTCCACGTGT